GCCAGGGCGGGGGACGCGGGCCACGTTCAGAGGCTGAGCGGCCTCCCGCTGCCCCTGTTCCCCGCGTTGTCCCTTCACCGCCCCCTGGGGTCAGGGGGACCCTGGGGTCAGGGCTGGAGCTGGCAGTGAAGCGAACCGTCACCACGCCGGGAAAGAGCGCGGCCACGTGGGCGCGCAGAACAGCGGGCGAGGCTGGGCTCCCAGGCCCATCTCCGGTGACCACGGCTCCCCCCGCCCGGCTCGGGCCCGCAGGGTGCGCACCCCGGTGTTGAGCCGCGCGGCGCCCCACTCGTCCTCGACCAGGGCGCCGACGCCCCCAGTTGGGTCCAGCACGCCGCACAGGTGGCCGTCCAGGGCCCAGTCGCTCGCCCGCCGCTCGTGCTGGTACTGCAGGGCGGGCAGCTGGATGGCCTGGAGATCCATGCTGGTGTCCACCAGCTTGCCGACCCTGCAGAGACCACGGCCCGGTCACAGGCCTCCTCCAGGGAGGGGCAGAGCTGCCGTCACGGTGGGGGCAGTGGGGGCGGAGGGGGCACCGGGGGTCCCCTCTGGTGTCACGAGCCGCCTCGCCCACCACCGGCCACTACGTCCGCATGGCCAACCACACGCAGCCAGGCAGGCGGGGCAGCCCCGAGGCCCGCAGGCCCCAGAGAGGCCCTGAGACCGAAGGCAGCACCTTCCGGAGGGGCGGAGGGCGCGGGCCAGTGTGGCGGGTCACCCCCGAGGAGGGTGCGGCGTGACGGGTGCGGTCTGGGGGCCGAGAGCAGGTGTGCAGGGTGGCAGGGCTGGCGCGGGAAGGGCGGGGGCGGGGGCCTGGTGGGCCGCGGCGGCTCTGAGCCTGTGGGCCTGGCCCCTGGGCAGATGGACAGCGGTCTCCGAAGGAGGGGGATGGAAACCTGACGGGAGTGGATGGTGTGCAGGAGAGGGAGCCACGTGCCAGACACTGGGGTGGCAGCAGCAGGCAGAGCCCGGCGCCCCTCGCGCAGCCCCCGCCCCCCGTGACCGTGCGGTGGGCGCCCGGACACACGGGCGAAGGGCTGGGCCCTGCCCCCGGGGCCCCTCTGCTGGGCCCTCCAGTCAGAGGGGCTCCCTGCGCCCAGACACATCCCTCACTTATTCTGCGCCTCCTCTGGGGCCCGAGGTCCCGGGAGAAACGTGTCCCTCACTCATCTCTGGCTTCTAGTCCTCAGCACTGCATCAGCCCCACGCGCCCTCAAGACCTGTCTGGGGAGCGCGTGGCTTCTGCTTTGGCGCGACTGAAAGACAGAAGGACCCAGCGGGGGCGTCTGCTGCCCCGAGGGCCGCCGCCGGGCGGCCTCGCAGGCCCGCGTGCCTCCGCCTCGGAGCCAGCCGGCCCGGGCCCACTGACCGCAGGAAGACCTCCTCCATGGTGGTGACCGAGGCCCCGAAGCTGGCGATGCCCAGCTCCTTCTGCTGCGTCTCCAGCTGCGTGAAAAGGCCTTCAAACCTGAAGGGGAGATGGGGCGGTGAGCCGGGGCCGCCTGCCCCTGCGCC